CACAAGGAGTGTAAAGTGTCCACATTTCCGAATATTTAGCGGCGTAAATCGACCATATTTGGTTTCCCAAACTATTCCGTATAATGTATTAAGTGAACGGTTCTTCGCGAAACCAAACACCGCGTAACACAACGCGTGACGCTTTCATGAAAAAATACATATGTGTCCGAGAATCAATCTTTCGTCTTTTTCGAGAAGTGAGCTTGGGACACCTCTACTCAAACTCCTTTATTGTATACGCAACAACAACCTCAAGAAACCTCACCCCAGCACCCCGGTGTTGTAAGATTGCATGTAAATGCGCTTTATTTTTTTGACCACGGCTAGGCGGGCTACCTTACCCTACCTGGGACTCCCCACCTCCATGTAAACAGGCCCATAATGATATGAATAATGCTACATTAAGTAATTATGAATAATTATGATGTTTGTCCTTTATCTTCGGCACTCGTGAAAAGCATAAAGGGAATAGCTCAGCTAAAATTGAAAAATATGGACGCACCCATGTGCCTTGTTATTCGATATAAACTGACGCATTTTCTTTATTTGTTTATCAGTTGTGTGCCAAAGACTATGTCATAAATGAATTCAAATTGAATATGAAGCAAAATAGTTCATGACCAAAAGAATAAGGGACAAATAAACGACGTCAAATTGCAGCTCATATCTATTTTAAACTTTATTTATTTGTTAGTATCTTATTGCACATTTTTCATGCTTCGTGTCAGGAGAGTGGTACGTATTCAGTTAAGAGTAATAAATGTCGAAAGAACTCTGGATGCACATTAACGGAATACTTACAATAAAAACTGGTTCGAATTATATTTCAGAATGATTGTCACTGAGTCAGTATATAAGATCCAGCGCATCACTATGAATGTTAAATATTCTATTCCGTTTGGTAGAAAATCATTGGTAAGATGAATGATAATAAAACAAAAATCGGTATAGAAACGATTTTTAAAAACATGTACACATGAATGAACTTGAAGAGAATTTGTATTGCGCCTCCTCTTGTCTAGCTTCAAGAGTTAATACATTCATAAATCTTTAGGAATAATAAATTACGTGACATGTAGCTTGTTGTGTCCGTAGGAGGAGTAGGGAGCAACTTGAGCAACTTATCGTTGATATATAAAACCAAACGTGGGGAAGGTAATATCACTGCAGATGTGCATTCCAGGACCTTAAAAGGAACACTTAGGCCTTCAAATAATTGACTTTCCTCTGGTTTCGAATTATTTTGCGAAACAATTTCTTGTATTGCACACGTGGCAATAATAAATCCAAAGCAGCTCGATTTTTAAACTTCTTCTTAGCCTCAAGCAATGTGACATTTTCAAGGTAATTTAGTGTTATCAACTGAGTTGATGACGTCAACTGACCACCGTGAGGATTTAAAAGGCTGACGTGTCGAGCGTTAACCCTTTCGTCAGAGGGATTGGAATCCAACACCGTTGATAACACTAAATTACCCTGTTATACTCTTCTACCGACGCAGCACCACAGTTTCTTTAGAAACTTACCCCCTTTTAACATTTTTCATCCGCAAAGAAACTCTGCTTACTATGGAGCTTTTTATAATGAAGCAAGCCTCCAGTCCTCCCACGTATAGCTGGGAAATGAATTATTATTACTTTTTTTTATTTTACTTTTTTTGATGGCACTTAGAGACTGAACGTGGACCGTAATCATAGTTTACACAAGTGTATTTTAGCAGATTGACATTTAAAATGGTTCAACCATTTTATGAAAAAAGGTTATTTGCCTTTCTCAGGATTAAATTAAGGTCCTGAAAGCTTCACCTGCTTTTAAGAGCAATCCAACCAATAACTATGAACTAGACATTTTTTTTTTAATAACAGCTTTTTCCTATTTCCAGAGGAGTGCTCTGTGTCAGGATCTACACTTATTATCCAATTTACAGAGAAAGATATTTTCTTGTAAGTCAGTTTGAATTTTACTCCAAAAGATGAACGACGAAATCCTCAAATTAAAAGGCAGAGGTATTTCAGCTTTTCTCATTTCATACAGATGTTGTTGTTCATCTTGGCTATATGGATAAATGAAGGTTTAATCGTTTATCTTGCGACTAACTGCAACTGATAAACCGACTCTAAATCGTGAGACAAAACGATCAACCATTTAATAATTGTTTTTGCCCAAATTATTTTGCTGATTTTTTGAACGAAAAGATTGCACCGTATGAAATAATTTAACTTCGTCACGTTTCTTGAAAAAGATGACCAGTGTAGCTGTCATATCTGGTTACCAAGACGACTGTGTTATCTTTTCAATTGTCAGATGTAAATGAAAAAAAAGGCGTGTATATTGCATACGTTGAAGAAGTCGTGCCTTTGAAGCAAGACTATTCTTCTTACATCTATATATGTATTTTTGTTCGCGTTTTCTCAATTCTGACTACAGTATTTATGCATTTGTAATATAGAAAGGAACTTACAAGTAAAGTAGAAAGCAGGTGGTTAAAAACGGGTGCACATTTTAAGCCAGGACTGCGTAAATTGTGACGAGGGCGAGTAATTGTGAGACAGTTGAGAACTACTCCGTTTCTTAATGAACACGTACAACAAATATATTAAAACATCATGGAACGAATTCCTTGAATGCGTTGGTAAGGTTTCAGTGCAGTCGGCTTGAACGAAAGAAAAGTTGGTTGCTGAAAGGACAATATTTCAATTTATGGGTGGTTAAAGACTTCTAGAAAAGTGTTTCTAAATATTAATTTAAATTATTTTGCCATTTTAATATTCAAATTTCCTTGATGAAGTGACGCTTCTGTTAAAATGCAACATAAACGTTCAGATATCATTAATTTGCATGACAGTCAATTTTGCGCTTCAAGCCATAAACATAATAAAAGCCCTATAAAAGCCTCACTGTAGACGTAAAAACAACAAGGCAAGTTAAATTCATTCTTTTACAGGAGAGAGCTCTTTTCAGAATTAACTAACAGCAATCTTGCACTGATCTCAAAGATATTTATAATATATAAGCACAACACGGAAATAATATTTTGGTTGCTTTTAGATAACTCGCTGATCTCAACACGTCAATTGGTCTGACTGAAGGCGAAGGGGCAACAAATTAACCTCAAAACAAATGGGTGACTTCCATACATTTACCGCAACTCTATTGCTGGTCTCTTCATTAGGTGAGTGTGGATTCTGTTGTGAAGATTATTACTTTTTCTTTTCGAGAATTTGATCTTACAATAGGGGTCAAGGACTCTTTTAACTTTCGTATTCTTTGTATCTACATATCCCAGTCAATTGGACGTAGCAAAACATTGCGGATAAGAATTAGTACCTTAAACTACCGGAAAATTTTGGCTAAAAGTCGATTAGTTATTCTTTTTTTTCAGCGTTTCCTTTCTATGTTTCTCCCAAGTTACTCGCGTATTTATTCAATTTTTCTCAACCATCTGCTCACTGACCTAAGAAAAACCGAAACCGTATTAAATGCGCTCTGATCGGTTTGAAAATGTGAGTTTCTCGAGTAAATTTTGGCAGACCAATTTTTTTATCTGAGACATTCTGAAAAATTCTACCCAAAAATATGCAATGTGGCTTGAATGAGTCAGGGCATAAATATTTTTGCGCGAGACAACTTCCGCGCAAAACGGTTGCATCTGTCAGGCAAACTTCTTAATTAACATTTCGCTTTGAAAACCTTAAAGATTGTGTGAGGTAATTTGCACATGTAATAACGCAGCGCAGTGAAGGTAGATTTGTAACTGTGGTTACTACAAATGTAATCTGGTATGCAATGGAAATGATTGCACACAAACATGCAACTCTGATACATACCGGATAATCGAACAGTGAATGAAGGGAGCAGGTTTCTAATGAAACTGAGTTGCTGCTTTGGTTGAGAGTACTGCAAGATAGTTTGGTTTATCAAGTGAGTAGATAATACAAAGATGGGTGTCCTCTCTCCTTTAGAGCAAATAGGGTAATGTGGTTTTCTGGAGAAGACACCGGCTGATCACTTCTTCAAAGCAAAGTTTTGACCTTATAACGATACGTAGATATAAAAATGATTCAACTCTATGGTGAGCTTATTTTCCAGCTATAATTCAAGTACAAACAGCAACTAGTTCACCACGACTTAGTACAAAATCAAAACAGACTTCAAAAACAGAAAAATTGGTAGGTATTGCTTAAACATGCATATACCCTAGTGACATGCATAGACAATATCACGCTAGTTACTGTAACATGCAGCTCATTTTCAAGTATGATAATTTTACAATATGTCATTTTTAATTTATCATAAGGATCATCAACATCATCGTCATGATCGCTATCTTTTTTATAATTATGTTTTCTAGTATTTTATTTTTATCACAATTATTATTGCTTACAGATGATTTTGCTCTGTATTATTTGGTTTTCTTTCTGTTTTTTTTTTCCGTTGGTTTGTTTGGTTCTTTTTTATTGATTTGTTTTTTGTTTCATTTGTTATTTTTGTTTGCTTTTTTGCATATTATTTCAAGAATTTTAAAACAGTGAGTTGGAAGTGTCGAGATAACTTTAATGAACGAGCATTTGGTATCTGTTTCATACTCTTTCGCACTAATTTGATATGTCATCTTGCTACAGACAAATAATTTTACCCTAGCATTGAATAAAACATATATTCAACAAGATAGCTCTTTGCAGGTATGTTGAAGTTTTACATTCTATTTATTCAAATTCTAAGAAAAACCTTTTTAATTTTCAACTTTACTCCATTATCATCGTTCACTGTTCCTTCTGTTATAATCTATCTGATATTCCTGCTCGCACGGAATTGGTCTAAACGCGTCACGTGACAGAATATGCCCAAAAAAATTTGTATTAAGAGAAAAGTAATCATAAGCATTAATCTTATGGTAATTAATTAATAATTAATTAATTAATTAAATAAAGTAATCATAAGCATTAATATGATAATTACAACGAAGAAACACTTTTTTCATTGAATTTCAATCCATCCTTTTGCAGAACGTTCTCGATTTGTTGCAAGATACTCTGGCCAAGTATAAAGATATATCCTTTCTAGAAGTTGAAAATAATGTTATAACCGAGCGGAAACGGATAGAGTTGATATACACAACTGCAGATGCCTTTCAGACCTTTGCTCTGAAGTATGGCTGGTACCACCTCAACGAATCAACGCCAGTGTTAAGGAGGAAATATGAGAGAATCCGTGGTATGCTGAAGTTTGTTCGTCTGTTTGTTATGTTTTGTAAAGGAGAAGAAACTGAACATCCTAAATGACAAACAAAAATAAAGTCAAACTAGGATACATTAAAAAAATGATCCTATAACACTAGAGGCGGAATACACGTTGAGATTCAAGGATGGGCTTGATAGCGTATGATGGAAATCTTGGATGACATACGAAAATGAAGTCATACCAAGGTGGAGCCTAACCTTTTTTTGTTTGTTTAAGCTACTAATACCTCTTTCAAATTTTTGGTAACTTATTCATAACACAATCTGTTTTATGTATCTACTGGTGTAAGTACTACAGACTCATCATAGGCATACATAACTAATCCCATAACACTAGAGGCGGAATGCATGTGGAAGTTCAAGGATGAACTCGATCTTGTATCATACTTATATTGCGCATTGAATATTAAAAATATTTATTCAATAATATTCTCATGATATTTTATGATATTTCTGTTAATATGTATTTTTAAACCTCATCATTCGTCCTTTATAACAGTTCGTATTCGGAAACGTCTAAGACGAGATTTTGACGACGACTTTCACCTCGGTGAATCATCAAGTGAAACTGTTAACATCCCATCTGAAAACTTTAAAAGAAACGGTAGGTAACTGACCATGATGAGACGAGAAGCAACTTGACTCTGATTTTAAGCTTAGCGAGGAGATTTTCTTTTTGTTTTTGTTTTTTTGTTGTTGTTGCAGTGTTTCCAGGCAAACAGGTTCCGTGAATATTATATTTAGATCTCCGAAGCTTCCGATAGTTTTTGCTATCAGTGAGTGGGGCTGGAGGGAGGCAAAACATCTCACAATATAAATATGCGATCCTTTTACTTGTAAAGTTCAACCACCCACTGAAAATAAAACTCTATCCCACCAATGTGGCAAGTGACATTTCCTAAAGAGAAACTCTTCTGATAAATACAAGGAAAATAACAATGGGCCATGTACTGCAGAATTCTTTGAAGCTTTCGAAAAAGTCATCAATTTTCTCACAGAAGAGTATCTTTTAAGTTGTTTTTATTGCCTCATCTACCTGCACGTGGAGTACGATTTAATCGCAGTCCATTCAACTCACGGATACATTTTGAACTGCATCTCTGTTTTTGCTTAAAGGTTCAGTGATTGTCGTCATCATATACAAAGACCTACATGAACTGTTAAGAAGGAGAGAATTAAATAACGCTGACTTAAAGAAAAGGAGGTAATATTTTCTGTACGTGTATGTTCATTACGATTAGAAACCATTGATTCGGAAACTCTCCATAAAATATGTGACTTCCTGGGTGTAGTGTAGTGTAGTGTAATGCGTTACATAATGTCACATAGCGTCACTACTGTAAGGAATTTCCAATCATGCCGAGAATCTACTCTCGTGAGTAAAAGTAAAATAACTGTTTACGGTTATTTTACGCTTAATATATCATCTTGATTATTGAATAAAATACAGTTGAATTAGAGGAATGACAGTGTTTCGCGTTTAGGAATTATATTCTGCCTCGCACCTTTCTTATTCATGGTATTGCATCTAGATGACAACTACGATGAAAGAGGCGATGGCAGAAGGAAGAAAAAAGACCCACTGACAATTATTTTTCAACGATAGTGGTGGTGATGATCAGATAAACAAAATGATAAGTTTTAGCCCTTCCATGAATTGCACCTGAGGAAGACTGGTACTAAACCAATAAAACCACTCGGGAGCGAAAAAGCCGTTAAAGGCATTATTCCTTCTTCTGCACTGGCTAGCGTCTACCCTGATATTTTTTTTTTAATTGGCTCAATAGAGATAATCATATTGGGCCTATTGGATTATTTCCTAAAGCGAACCCTACTCGACGGTTTTATTTCTTTAACATTCAGGCGTCTTAACAGCTTGGTAATGGCAGTCGCAATGGATCCGAAGCCACAACGTTTGATACGAAATGTCGTCATGAGGTTTAGAAATCAAAAGGTAAAAAATCTACTTAGAATTGAAATAATATTAAATACATGATGAAATATTTCAACGGATGAAAAAACAAAAGAAAGGTACATTGAGAGAAAACTATACTTTTAATGATTAGCTGTTCTTGAACTTTTTACTTTTAGTCTAAATGAAACCGTATCTTATTCATTAGCTTCTTGACGCCACCAGAAATTGTGTGTATTGGAAAGGGTTTGATTCCAAAAGGTAAGAATAACTATTCTGTGGTAGCCAGCAGTATTTTGTAGTACTAAATCAAAACTTTTGTCCTCGGCGAACGTGTTCATTGTATGACTTAAAACATGTTTAGAGATTGTCTAATAAAATTAAAATGCCCCAGGCAGTCGATTCACAGCACATCAATTCTTAAGCTTCATGTGAAAACTTAGTCAACTATATTATCTCATCTTATCTAATTTTTATTGCCTAGTTTTCCCATTAAATTTCCCTCTTTTTGGATTATTCTGAAAGACTTTGATATAACGGATGTCTTGGTGGCCATCTTAGATAATGTTATGCTTAATGTAAGCCGAAGTACTTAACCTTCTCATCCATTGCCCCTGCGTTCCATTGGCTCATCTTCCTAATCTCGCATAATGAATTGGACGCTATCTTTCAAAAGATGAGTGATTTCAAAAGGCTGAGTCGTAACAGGAACCGAAATGCGCCCCGCGATTCCTTCCTTGTTTAAACACCAGCAAATGGGCGACTGAAAAGACAGGCTAATTAACTTAGATGACTCCAAGCAGCAGAACCTACTCTCAATAAATAGTTTAGGGAAAATGTCTGACATATTGGTCGTTTCATGCATAAAGCTAACATGTCGCTTGTTTTTAGTATTGACGGGTGGTCAGATGAGGGATGTCAGGTATCTAAAAGAAAACAAGAGTACACAGAGTGCAGCTGCAACCATCTGACTCACTTTGCAGTTCTTTTCGACTTTGGAAGCGCTTCAGCAGAGGTAATGATGTTTGTCTGTTCATCTGGTAACATGAGTGATGATGTTTCACTGTGGCCATATTTACTTAAAGGCGGGAAGATCGGTCATTTTTATGAATGGTGGGGCTGTTATGCTATTTTATATTGTGACTAAAAGTAACAAAAAAAGAAAATTGAAACATTTCTTTCGGATGATATCTATTTCGTCATCACTATAATTTTGCTTTTCTTTTGCCGGTTGTTACGATGACAAAATAGACGACAGAGAAAGATGAGAAGATCTTGAAGATTCTCACCTACGTGGGACTGATCTTGTCGCTCATTGGAATAATTCTTACTTTAGCTTCCTATGCTCTCCTCACGTAAGTAAAACGTTTTTTTTTTTTTTTTTTTTTTCTGTTATGGAATTATTTTACTACACTTGGTATTCTCCAACTATGACCTGTTTAGTTTTAGCTTGATTTCTCTTATCTTAGTTCATTTCCTTTTCGTTTGTGATACTGTTGTATAGTTTCTTACTTGATATAAATAATATATATCCACTTTCCTCTTTATGTCTATCAATGCAGGCTGTATTTCTTTTCTTTATCACCAGCGATGTGCATCAACCGCTGTCTCAAGTGAGGTTAAGTCTCGTTGCCTCATTGGGACTTGGCCAGATAATGTTTCTTGCCGGGATAAATGCCACACAGGATAAAGTAAAAGCTTGTTTTTTTTGTTTTGTTTTGTTTTTTGTATTGTTTTTGTTTATGGTTTTTTTTTTGTTTTTAAAAAAGTACAACTTAAAACAAAGTCAGTAAAAGCTTTTTAACTATCTGGCAGTGAATTCATAAGAGGAGTCTTGGCTCTAGTCGCATGTTTGAGGATTTGAATAGATTTATGTTTGTTGTGATTAATATTGATCACAGCTCGACAGAAAGGGGGTAGGAGGGGGGGTTGAGAAATTGTCATAAGAAACAGGTATTTATGAAGTAACAGATTCATGTTGGCATAATCGAGACCAACTAAATAAAAATTTAACTTGTGGAGAAAATAAAGGCTATATTTGATATAAAATATCGAAAGCTATTAAAAAACCATTTTAAAAGGAATCCTAATTAATAATTTATACGAAATAGAAATAAAACAGTTACAGTTCTTAAAAGCTCAGTCTACTTTTGATTTGCAGGGTGTTTGTGTCGCAGTGGCAGCCCTGATGCAGTACTTTCTCATGTCAGCCTTTTGCTGGATGCTTGTTGAAGGAATTTATCTTTACCTATTTGTCGTCAAAGTTTATAATATAAATGAGAAGATGGCCATGTACCATGCTTGTTCTTGGGGTAAGCTCTTCCACTATTGCAACAATTACTAAAGGCAATATCAAGTTTTCTTTATCAAAATGATATTGATACGTGGTGATTTCACTGTCTTTAAAACTTTGCTTTTTGTTAATTGTAGCTTTTCCAGCTGTTATGGTCAGTATTTCGCTGATAATTTCTTCAGCGAGGGACGGAATCAGTAGTTTTGTCAGCGAAGAATAGTAAGTAGCCCTATCTTTTTATTTAAGTTACATTATTTATTTATTTATTTTTTTGAGACAATTCAGCCCACTTCAGCTTTAAAGCTGGTTCATTTGGGAACTATTTATAAGATAACACGACCACACCACAACACCAGGAGCCACGTTCTCTACTCCTTGCAAGAAATGAGTGGGTTCTGTAACGTGGGGCCTACAGTTTATCGTCCTTATTCGAGAACAATAGAATGTCTAACCATTCGCGGATGTCATAGCAAAGGCGACACATTCTCCTCTCCCTCTTCTCTTCTACTTCAACTCGCCATTTACACCTTTGTGTGATGGCTTGATTCAACTTCAAGACTAATATAATTATGTAATTTGTGTTGTGAATAAGCTGCTGGCTCTCCAACGCAAACCATTCTATTTGGATATTTGCTGTTTTTGTTGTGACGGTGGAAGTTGTAAGTAGATCACAGTTTTTAATCATAACTGATAGTCTCCCTAACATTTGCACAATCCAAAAATTCACAGTTAAATGTTATTCTTAGGAGGAGGCTCTTGAATCAATATCAGTGGGACAAAGCTATTCTATATGGCAGTCTAAAAAAGGCCTGTTTGCTGCGCGGTCTCAGCTAAAAAAATTTTCATTTTCCTTATTTATCTGAATCTAACGTAGATATCTCAAACATAAATTAGGAAAGAAGCACACGAACATAATAGCTCCCCAAGACCGTTGATTGCAAGGGCTTTCGGGAAACGGGCCTATTGACTTGTAGACAACACTCAGCTCGAATCAGATGACGACTTCCAATCAAATTGCCAAACAATTTTCCTAAACTAAAACATCAATCTGCTTAATATTGAAAAAAATTTCAACTTGAATATTGCATTCTGGTGTTCTGATGGGTTCAATGAACTCCAGTTATTAGCTGATATTGCGAGTCACCGTATATGGTAATGCATTACAACAATGATTGCATTGGATACGAAATAGGTTATAGCCAACTCAGGGCTACGCGCCTCGTTGGCTTTCTACCATCTCAGTCATATCCATGTTTAGGATATTTTAAATATTACTTCTTTGTAGCTTAACTTGCTAATTCTGGCCAGAGTTGTAAAAGAAATGTCCGGAACACAGTCAGCTCCAGAAAATCATCAGATACGGTAAGAGTAAACATAAACGTCAGGGACTGGAAAATGATAACGCTAACATTAACAACAACAAAGACAACAACAAAAAACGGCTTGTTCGTTAATTCTTCTCATTTTTTTTTTGTATCGCTTTTTTATTGTTGTTTTTTTTTTAATTGTTCCTTTTCTATTAATTTCTTTTTTTTTTTGTTACTGTTTGTTTTACTGTTCTTTCTTTTATTTTACAGACTTTGCATCAAGACATGTGTAGTAATGATTCCCTTACTGGGTGTCACGTGGTTATTTGGTATCTTTTCGACGTTTCACAAAGCTTTTGCCTACATCTTTACCATCTTCAACTCAACTCAGGTAAGCCATTATTATGATTTACTAGTCACAATTAGTGAGCTCATTAAATAAGCAAACCTCAAAATTAACAGCCTCATCATTTTTTAGGTACTCGCATCATTTAAAGGTGCATCTTATTCTTTTTACAGGGATTTCTCATTTTTCTATTGCATTGTGTGCGAAACAGTCAGGTAAGTACAAGTAGTTTTATTCATCGTTTGAATTAATCTTTGAGCTTGATTTTGATTGCAATTATTGTCGATGATTTTATTCAAACTCCAAGCCATAAAAAGACTCATTATCTTAACACAGTTACCGCCTGAAGGTAATGCATGATGGAGAAATCTTACGGTGGTCGTTAATGCAGCTAAAGATTAGACGTAAAATTATGGTAATGATCGCATTTTAAACTTTCAGAGACCATAATAGCCTTCTTAGAATTGTCTTCAAATGTGCAAGTCACCCACTGACCCCAAAATTTTCAATCTTGATAAGCAGCCTGGCCGTTTAAAGAGGTCGTAACATAGGTCCTTTTCGCTTTTTCTATCACTTGAGAGCCCTGTTGAAGTGTGACCCTTATGCTACTCTTTGGAATATCATAACGAGTAATTTTCAGACACCTTTTTCCAGGCTGAGACTAAAACTTCATGATATATTTTCCTTTTTGCAGATTAAAGAGCGTTTGAATAGAAAGTTTAACGCTATATTCCGAGCTACAAATTGAGCAATCTCAAGTTTATAAAAGTGAAGAACTAAAGGAATGCCATCATCGCACCATATCTCATCTATATATGGCATCAATAATCATAGGTGGAAGAGATTGGTCGCAGAGATTAATGAAGTTAATGGAGTGATCTGCCAGTCCTTTAGTTGTCGAGGCGATGTTCTACACGAAGACAATTTTTAAAACGTATTCGTAGTTCTAGAACCTATGAGTTGTACTTAACAAAAAAGTATGGAGTGAACAGGGACCAAGAACACTATTGCATTCAAGTTAAAAGGGCTGGAATGATGAATTTCAGTCATACATATAGGATGTCGTCTTTAAGAAACTTTCTCGGCTTTAAAATGTTTTTTTTAAATATCGGGCTCCGCTATAACGCTTCATTCACAAAATGGTTGCTTAAATGCTAGACTAGGAAAATCAGGCTTAACATAATTTCAAACAATCACCACATGGTTCCATTGAAGTACTAAAAGCAGTAAAGTCCTCAACCAAAATGGGAGCTGGTTATCATGTAAATTGTACTTATAGGATAGTTATGATGTACGTACAACTATTCAAACGCGACTAACTTATCATGAACGTATCTCTGAGAAATTTACTTCAAATTTCAAATTCTAAACCTTGAGCAAGTAAACAACTGTACAGATACAAGGACCGATTTGTTTGTCCGCTTGTTTTTTTTAAGTTTTTGACTGGGTTGTCAGCTTCTCGTCATTTTTAATTGATTTTTAAAAGGATCGAAACAAGCACAGACGAATAGTCTTTTCCAACCATTAGAAAAAAAATTTAAAAAAAAAAAGCCAACTGAGCATTCAGAAGTATGCAACCTTTTCCAAGATGACTGCCTATGACACCTTGCAGTTCTTCAGGTATGCTAGTGAACGGAATATCTGTGTTCCTGTGAAGTAGGTGTTTTAAGGAATCCCACAGAGCTATAAATTAGGCCTGAAGGGATTCCATCCATAGATAATTTAACCCAATTAATGAACACCACACGATTTTAAACAAATTTAAACGAATTTGGCCTAATTTAGACTGCGTGGCTAATTACATAATGAATGTGATCACGAGCTTCTAACGTTTGGTGCCGAAGCCGCGGGACACCTGAAACAGATATCATGGAAAAACACCAAATGTTTTTTGAGATTTCTCCCTGAAAGGCTTACATTGGTTAAAAACTATCGTATGCATATCGTCTACCTGTGGCTCTTTTAAAGGGATACTTAAGGAATGATGAAATTGAAAGAATCTGCGCGCAATTAGTTAACACCATGAGAAAATTAATTAAACGAGTGTGAAGAAAAGATTGAACTGATTATTGTTTCATTAAATAGTGGGGACTTGAGAAACACAATCGTCATGGAAACAAAATATTTAATGGTAAGAGCATAACGAACGATGTATGTGTTTTAAAACCTTGTGTACTGTCCAAGAAGTTAACTGCAAAATAAAAATACATGATCCTATCAAAGACTGGAAATAAAGCATACTTAATGAGCTTCAGTATTTCCTTCCAAGTTTTTATAAATTTGGCCATCTTGACCATTTGCACTTGTTGATATTCATCAAGCTGATCGAATTGCTTTGTTTTTGTTAGACAGGGACCACCATTTAATCAAAAATGTAAGATTTTAATGCAGCTCTGCATCATTTCAGGTGTATCAGTAATTACTCAAAACTATAGTCTGTATCAAAAACTCTAACTTAAAAATTTCGCGTGGTAAAGGCAATCTTTTAGGAGACGTTTTGTTATCGGTCGAAGTAATTAATTAATTAGGTAAAATAAATAATAAGTGGGTGCCTGAATGCATGACACGCATCATACTCCAGTTGGCAGTTTTTCACCCGAAGCTCAGCCCCGCTGATCGTCTTTACGGCTCTGTCGCAGTCTAGGAATTAACATTATCATTCCCTGGTTAAATAAAACGGTGAAAACATTCGGTCGATGGCCTAGAAGTCCAATCTTTCAGTGCTGGATATTTCACAGAGTTCGCAAGCATTGAAAATGAGCGAAAGTTTCGTATTTGCTCCGAAACTCGTGACTAGAGGCGTCATGCTAATTATCTTCGACATGAAAGTTTTTTTTAAATTATTTGGAGTTTAAGAGTCAGGTTCTCGCCATTAATTGAAAACACGAATTAAATGCTGCATTTTGGCTTGCATTAATTTTATTTTTATCAATGTAACGTTTAAAAGATTAAAAAATGATTGAAGTAAGAAAGAAACATTGGATGCATCCTGTAAGTCTACGCAGGTTGAAGATATCTTTAATAACGTTCATAAAAAAGAAGACTTTATTATTACTCTCTTATAATAAAATGCTTGTAGGTCTTTTTAATTGTAAAAATTTTGGCTGACGATCAATGCGAGGCAAATTATCGCAAGAGGCCAACAAGCATAGTACATATTCATGAGATCATAACAGCGTCTGGCTCGGTATCTATTTAACAAATAGAGAAGCCTTTACTAGGCTCTGTTCTGTTGCAACGCACCAAGGAAGCGGCTACAGCACAAATGGGGATTTTTGTCTCTGCTCAGGGTATAGTAATGTAAATTACGACGCTTACCACATTTATAAACCTTCATTTGGAGTTTAATTGATATGCTTTATTTATTATTGAATGGGAAAAATTAACAGTTGCATTTCGCAAACATTTGATAGTCGTGTTTTACGAACATTGAACAGTCGCATTTTACATGTTCTACGAACATTTAACGAGCGTATTATACATATATTGGATCAATATCATGGGGTCTGAATGGGGTTTAGTGTTATTTGCCCATATTTTTTAGTGTTTACTGCTAAATTGGCCATTTTTTTAATGTTTACCGTTCTTGAAAAAAAATACGGTAGCATTTTACGAACATTTAACGGTCGCATTTTTACGAACATTTAACAGTCGAATTTTACGAACATTCAATAGTCGCATTTTACGAACATTTAACGGTCGCTTGTTACGAACATATAACGGTCTCATTTTACGGACATTAAAAAGTCGCATTTTACCAACATTTAACAGTCGTTTTTTACTAACATTTAACGAACGTATTATGCATTTATTTAACGGTCGCATTTTACGAACATTTAACGGTCGCTTGCTACGAACATTTAATAGTCGCTTGCTAGGAACATATAACAGTCGCATTTTACGAACGTTAAACGGTCGCGTTTACGAAACATTTAACGAGCGCGTTTTACGAACATTTAACGGGCATATTTTACGAATATTTAACAGGCGTATTATACATATATTGGATCAATATCAGAGGGTCTGAATGGGGTTTAGTGTTCTTTGCCCATATTTTTTAGTGTTTACTGTTAAATTGGCCATTTTTTTAATGTTTACTGTTCTTGAAAAAAAATATTGTTTAGGGTTTGAAAGGAGACCCCAAAGTCTTTTTAGTATTTCAAATTTTATCTGCCCTTTTAAATTCTGCAAGAAAATCAGTCGCGAACAGTGAGCTAAAGCTGAAACGTTCTTGTCCTTAGAACCGATAGTGCGCCTTATTAGACCCTCAGTACTAGGTGTACTTAAGGGAATACGTTTGGTAATCCACGCAATAGTTCCTGAAAAGTATCGCTTCTGGAAATCCAACCAAAGTGGTGTTTGCAAAAGACCGATTGCGCTTGAAATTGAGCCCCAAGGCAAGTATTGGTGTTAGACTACGATATCGACTCTCGAGAGTCTCGCCTCGTAGAACTGCGTTTACACCGACCAGTCGATGTAAATGTTCGGAAGGAAGTATTCAAGGATGCGCGGGACCTATGCTTTACCAATGGCGTAGTCTTCGTTGCAGAGGAGGCTCATCAGCAATCCGTTTCATTGAATTGAAAGGCGAAGTACTTATAAAACCCGAACACCTAAAATCGCGAGCTGATTTGCTTTCGCAGCTTAGTCGTATCGGCTTGTCATGTGAGGGTACAGGTCCAGTTCTACGGAAGCGGTTGAGGACACATCTGACATCTTTAACTGCACAAGTATAGAATAAAGAAATTGTCCAGATTAACCCACCTTTAAGTAAACTAACTTCCATCTGAGCGGCAAGTAAGGATATCCTCTTGTGTGCAGATGATGATCAGAGACGCATGATGCAGCTGGAATAAGAGTACAATGGAGTGGCTATCATCGGTAGTAGGCTGAGACAGATGAACTACCCCAATGACGTGACAAGTGTCGAATCTCTTAATGTTCTGCGGCAATCAGCATACTTGGCTGCAACTGGTGCAGCTGGAGGGTTATATGGTTGTAACCTCGATTCTGTCAATGTTTAGCGCACACAGTCGCTGAAGTAAGGCAGTACTATAAAATGAAAGAAACGGCAGCAACAGATGGCCCTGGAGGAACTGTTTCCAGCAAAACACAGGAGTCATTGGTACTTCTCGAACGAGGTACGGAACAGCTACGAGATAACGTTAAGAATGTAAACGAGGAATATCTTGGTGACATTGACCTGTGTACGCTGTTAACAACTCAGGTGGAGAACCTTCATGCAGTCTCCCACTTCAAAAACGAGACTTTCACTGCTCTTCAGTATGCTCAAGTGTTTGGAAGTATTATTATCCAGTGCCCAAATCCGGTGTGGAGTTAAGGGACGTAAATTTGATGAAACCTCATCCAGCTGGTAACGCTGATCTCAACATTGAGGCAGCCATGAAGGAATTAGTTGACAGGTATCGACCTGTCAGACGAAGGACGGTAAGACAAAGCGGGAGCCCTGCCGCTGGCTGTATATTCCAGTACGTCATCGTGTACTAGAGTAACATTCCAAGAGGATGTTCAAGACGATCCAGGGACAGGTAATAAAGAACGAGTCGACCAGGATACGAATATTCCACGAGCTACAAACGAAGTACCGAGAATCACCGTCGCAGTTGGTGACGTGACAGACCTGCCCAAGCAAAAGGATGAATTCGACACCGACTCGGAGAGCGATGCGGACAATGATACAGACATAACGTTCAGCAGATTTAGTCGCGCCACCCGCGCTCATTTCCG